CTCCACACATTGACAATCGTCAAATACAACTTCTGATCTCGATTCTGTCTTTTGATTTCTCTTGGTGGGTACGAGTTATATTAGAAGGTGTTACTGGTAAAAGCGTTGTCAAACACTGAATACCTGTGCCATCTTCAATTCGAACCCTTTTCAGAGTACTTTAATTAAAGCAGCATCAGTAATCATCACGCAAAATTTGATTTGAAACCGGATACATAAGTTTATACTCATCTGAGTTACATTAACAATTGACTTTTATGATCTAATGAGTTTTCAATGAAAAACGTATTAACCAATATAGCTTAGGTGGACCACATGGTCATTAATTACTGATATGAGATGGATTAAGAAATGAAGGGAGGGTGGTATTGCTTACAATTATTTAAAGTAGGACTTATTGTTACTGTGTTTCAGATCTTTTTTTACACTATTCATTTGTTTTTCGCAGTTATTTTGATTCTGTTTATAGTTCTCTGTTGCTAATGTCATAAATACTTTCACTTCAAGTTTTTATACTTCACATTGATAATGTGAAGTATGGCATCTTGAACAGATACAATTTAATGTCAGAGCCATTATTGAGTATCTGTACACTAATCTATTGGGGATATATTAAACAAATTGCGTTGAAAATACATGGGTTTCAAGCTCGGTTAGCGGATACATTATTTACAAAGCTCTTGCTGTGTCCATGACTGTATTCAACACACCATTTTAGTAACAAATGTTAGTGTTTCAAGTAATCTACATACATAGTATAAGACATTAACATAATGTAAACGAAACATCCTTACGATGTAAACAATCATAGGAAGTATGATTAAACATTCCGAGTTTCTGGAAAATGTCATTTGTAATTATTATAGCATCAAATTTGTTAGGAAACAGAAACAACTAAATTTTACTTATTATAATGGAATTTCTGTATGATTCATCAAACAAAATGGTACTCTTTATCTATCTGTCAGTTTTATTCTGTAAAGAAATTTGTAAATTGCAATATTTAGGTATTAATTAAGATTAGGAGAATGAAACTGATTAATTCTATACAGGTACAGTAATGCTGGAATATTTCTTGTATATAATCAAGAACAAGTTGACAATGAAACTATTTAGTATTTACGTTTAAACTTTGTGATTTTCAAATGTAGAACGAAACTCCAGGTTTTTTCCAATACTGGAATTATCCAATGAACACCCAAGTGTTGTATGCTTTGAGATTTTATACCAGGATGAATCTGAAATTCTTATCTCAGGGGAATGTCATGTATTTACTTCTTTAGACCTTTTGAGCTTACACAATGACCATGATATTAGGAGCTCATCTATGAGATACGATGAAATATGTAGATACTGTTGAGAGCATTTTGTAAGTTTTACCGTGGTCAGCTAAATGGTTTCCACAGGACAGTACTCATTTCTTGCGTCAAAACAGACTTTTCGGTGGTGAAATTGAGCTGTTTTGAAGTAACGAGAAAGATAGTAGTGGACCACTTGTTACTTAAAACACAAACTATCTGTTTCAGATAAGGACAAACAATTAAGTTCGAGTAACCTTGATATCACGAAATTACAAGTGTTATATCCGGACGAGAATTAGGAATGGTAACTCTTGAGAACTATTCATGGACCAATACGATATACATGTTTTTATTGCATAATTATTAAGTAGATAAACTATGTATGTTCGTGTTCCTCTTATTAAAAGCTTTATTTTGACTTGTGAACTATTATTACACGATTTACCGTTCTTGAGTTATGCCTAGTCCATCAATTACAGACTCCTACATTCACAGCCTTTTTGGCTAGATCGTATACTAATGTTATTTTCTATTATATGGTACGATGTGGTCTGTATATAATCCTAGTATGTTTGAAATACATGATTCATATAGTGGAGGCTGAGATTGATGTTCTGGACTTAACGGGCAGGGCTAGGCAGGAAGAAGGACCGATAAAGACTCTAGTACTGGTTTATGCGTCATTGGTCCGGTCGGTAAATCACTGTTCTCTAATTGTAGACATCAATACGTTATATATTAATAGGGCTCAAGGCCACAAGTTATAACAACAAGTTAGTATCAATCTGATTCGATGTACCGTTCTTCACTACCTAGTTTATAAAACTTTTGTATTAGAAACATCATCTGTTTGAGAAAATATGCTACGTAAACTTTTCTCTTCTTGATTGGAACATTGTATTGATTTTCAATGAGTCAAGCTTTAGCTTATCGATCTATGACAACTGCCTAAACACTGAGTTACCAAAATATATAAACGACAGTTGATGGAGTGAGACACTTCAAATTTTTTGAATGTTCATTCTGGTTAGAAACTAATTGGTCTCACTAGCCAGACGGTTAACTAAAGATTATGAGATATATTTTCACTGATGAATAAAAGGTTTGATTTTAAAGTGTTATCCCAAATCGTATGTATTAAGTCGAACTAAATTACTATTGTTGCGATGAGTAGTGTTTAAATGTCTGGTGCTGATACACGGTGTGCTATACGCAGACCTCCCAATTGACTATGTGAGCGAGAACACAAGAGTAAACGAGAAAGTGTATTCGGCTAACGAATAAAATGCACAAATACTTATTCATATATATACCACTCTAATTCTTAGGAAACTGATCCATTTCCTAGTCAATGAAATGAACTTGTCCTTTAGGTCACTGCTGATTACCATCGACTGACCTTTTCACTAGGCTACTTCTGATTGTCTCTCCATATCACCTTTCCCTTCTGAAAAATATGTCTTGCTCCTTGGATTTAACTGAAGGCACTGAGGGGAATATCGTCTTCTTGATGATTTTCGTCTAGTCTGGCCATCACCTCTTCCGCTCTGATCTTAATGATTTTAAGTGACTATATCTAGCTGCAGGTTTGAACTAGGAGGTTCCTTATCTGAATTTAATCATCTGTCACAGATGTGACTTACATGTTACCTATTAAGAAACTGATGTTCAATTCTCTCAGCCTCAAGTTTATAATCTCGCCTTATTTGTGGATGTATGTTATCATATGAAGTCGGAGTCTTCCTTCCGAACATTGAGTCAGAAGAGGAGATACCCTTAAGCGAGGCTTGGTTCGGGTTTATTCCTAGTGATTTCGTCGATCGTGCCCTCACCTTGCGATCACTGAGAATCAATAAAAAAAATCCTGCCTACATTTGTGCATCATATGGGCATATTAACATACTTGATTGCAAATACGATTGCATGGCAAATCGAGCATTTTTGAATCTGAATTACAAATAAGATTAAATGGATGGTCGAACGTTTGTAATTCTGTGATCTAGTCAAGATCCAATAGATTGAAAGTTTCATTGGTAACATGGCATTTGAATTCAATTACTAGATCATTAAATTTGTCTGTACATTTGATTAAGATGCCCGATGCATTCTTTATGCAATCGTTAGTAGGATGGGTGCTTGATCGACCAAGTTTTGGGAGAAATCAAAGTAATACCGGATGCAGTGTCCAACTGTAAAGTGATAATACAATCATTAGCATTAATCGATAAATACTCGCGTGAAAGTGAACACAACTTAAAACTCTTGAATTACTTATTAACAAATGCTGAATATGAAACAAAGTCATCTTCAGGTCTCTTAACAGTCCTAAGACAATTATATCGCAAACTAAATAAAAAAGTTTGATTAGTAAAAATTCTCGTTGATGTTTGTACAGTAGAATCAAAAGAAAAATTGTTGGATGTTTTGGCAAGATAAGGTTCGAATACTTTTTATGTTCGGCTACTCCAGGCTTATGATGTGCAATTCTCACCTTCGAAGAGTCATCATGATGAGGAAACACAACTTGAGGAATGTCTTCATAACTCCTGAACCATGATTCAAATGTAACACCAGTATCAGGATCAAAGTGAAACTCGCCCATTGAGTTGATCAGTGATTCGGTAGTCAAGCCCCTTAATTCGGACACATGTACTGAATTTTGTTGAATTAAAAGCTTTTGTGCCATCATTTTCAATTACGATGCTTTAAAATTCTTTTTGTTGCTGCTGCAAAATACATTTAAGTTGATCTATTGAAATTGACATTCTGGAATGTAATTTACTTTCGCGTGAGTTTGACAGTACCATCGCCAGAAACTGTTATGAATCTAATTACAGAACTCATACCAATTTACAGGCATGGACAGTCCTATTCGGAAAACAATTATACAGATAAATGAGAAACATATGAAGTCAAATAGTTTGAAGTGATGCTATTGGTATACCATATTTATTCGAATACGGTTACCTTTATAATCAAACTTCCAGTTAACGCTTGACTTCTGCTCAATTTTTTTTGATCTCATTCACGACACTAAATTCAGTGGATTGATTAAAATTTATCCACAATGGATTTCATTGAGATTCTGTGCAAGAGGGACAAATTCGTTATATTCGAATGACGAGTTATTTTCCAACTCTTTCGGATTCGAAAAGTGAATGTGCAATTCAGAACGTTTAATACCACAGCATTAAACTATTTCAAAGAAGTTAAAGACGAGCAACCAATGAAACGTACAAACATTTATGTCACTGTAAACAACCTTAAATACACTGTTGCCAACAAGAGTATGTATTTTCCCATTATTAGTATTGAGGAATGGAACTGACAAGTCTTTACTAAAACATATGCATCCTAAGCAGATTTTCTTGATATAAATATTTAGCAACACGCTTTGGTAAAGTTGAATAATGGTTAGCACTGTAATACAGGTTCTATTTGGGACTCGTTAAACTAACGAACAAGTTATTTGTTATCTGGACTCAGTAACTCAGTGAATCGTGAGTAAGCTTTTGATGCGAGACAGACTGGGTTCAAATTTTGGCACGGACACGAACGATGAGATTTAGCTTCATCTGGCTGACGAGTCCCAAACAGAATGGAAATCGTATTATAGATTTCCCTGATAGCCACGATTCTATCTAATTAAACACCCTTGATTCGACATTTATCTTCCCTCATTAAACACAATATTATTTTCCATGACAATTGGATTTACTAACAACAGGTCACAAAAAAATACAAATACCAGTTTCTACAAACTCCCATCCAGTAAGTAAAACAGAAGAGCAGAAATACGAAGCATATTTTCAATAATTCAATCAGTGAATAAATTTTCTCATTAATTTAGAAAAATCGAGATCAAGTTAATTTCGAAATTATCATTATGAGCTAATTCATCTGCTATAATTCAGGTTTATTTGTATATGATTATGTATGTGTATGCAGGTATGTGCGGATTAAAGAGCGAAAAAAACCAAAAGACCGATCCTCGTTAAAAGGGCAAAACAATAAAAAAAAATCCTTGATTAATCAGTAAACAATCATCATGCACACACCCACAGAAACAAATAAGAATAAAAAACTACTTGACAGAAATAATAAGATAGTGAAAGTGAAACGAAGAAATTTAATAGTAAAAATCGGATACCATTTTTTATAACAATAGAAATAAAGGTATAAATCTTTTCCTTCTCAATTCTTCTTCTTCTTCTTCTTGATAATTCCATATTAAACTCAAATGTTCTTGTTCAGCCTAAAATTATTTTCTATTAGTTTTATTAAAGACAGAAAGGAAATAGAAGTGAATAAGAATAATACACAATTATCAGTGACCAACAGTAGGTGTATATTACTAAAGAAAGAACTGTCTGCTAACCAGTAAACAAATATATGCTTATAGTTTTTTCTACAGTTCAACTGATATAGCATAAAAATGTTTTGAAATCATTCATTATTATGACATACAATCAGCTGTTTATTTGATTTTTAAGTCAAAATAATCCCGAATTAATTCATACAATTAAATGAGACAAAAGAAAATGCAAACACAACTTAATAGTGTTGCAAGATTCAGGCACAAGATAATTTTCACTATTTATTGGTGTTTCAGAATAGAAGAGAAAAGTATCAAGCGGCTGATATATATATATATATGATGGCAAATTGTATTTATAGCTGAACATTGTTACATAAAAATTAAAGTATTAAATATACATACAAAACAAAACTGGAACATACACAGCAAAATGGGTTGATTATCACCCAAACGATAGCTACTTAAAGTGAAATGCAATAATTTCTGTATATCTATGAATATGTATATATATGTGTTTTTCAATTAAATTTCCAGATCAGAGGCAAGTTTATTTGCTAGACGTTTGAAATCAGATGTCGATCCACTGATTCTTTTAAATCGTACTCCATTTGCTCCAGCTCGATTAAGCTTACAGATTTCCATTTCCCAATGTACAACACCATGTTCTGTTTTATCGGTTAAGCGAGATAATCTGTTAGAGTTTTTAGATGTTTGGCTATGATTAGTCAAATTTGGTATTTGACAACCACGTGAAGGATCACCGTAAGCACACTGCAATTTTAGGTCACCAACTTGTTCAAAGTCAATGTTATTATTAGTTAAAACCTGTTTTATATCGAGCATCATTTCTTCTATTTGGCGTCGACTAGCAGTTTCATTGCGAAACATGAATCGCAAACTACGTGTTCGTCCAAGAGTGGTATCAGATACACCGTTATTCGATATTGAATTGTCATTTCCTGGCGAAGGAGACTTATTTTGACCTGAACAAGGTATCCCAACTGCACAACGAGCTGGGACTGGTGGAGGAGTAGGTCTTGAATTACTGCGATCATCATGTCGTGATGACGAACGATGTGTTGACTGAGAACGAGAATCTCGAGAGAATGGACTGTGTCTCCGATTCATAGATCCAGTAACATCTAAATTCATTTCATTTTTATTTCTTCTTCGATTCAGAGTCTCTGTTGCATCTGCATTCTTCCGACTTGACCGTTCATCAACAGTAACTGTGCTAAAATCAGTTAGTCTTCGAGATCCCTGAGGAGTGACCCGATGTGGAGTGACTCCACTTCGACTGCGAGGAAGTCTTATAGAACTGTTTTTGTGATATGTTTCTGGCGGAGGACTTCCACATGCGACAGCCAGTTTATCAAGCTCCATTGTGGGTGCCATTCTCATGTCGGGATCATTGGGGTCATTCATATTAGATGCCTTGTTCTCAGGAGAAGTGGCCAATAAACCGGGTTGAATTACGGCGGACCTTCGAAACAGTTTGCTGCAAAAATTGAAACATACATGACAAAATATTTTACAAAATTATAAACTTGGCAACTAGTCAGCATTAAGTTGATTTTATATGAAAATAATGCATACATATATCAGCAGAATATTAAACAACTCAATGGATGAATAATTATTTTTCACATAGAAATCTTCGATTTAATTTACCCACAAAATGTGTATAGATATTCTGATTATAGTAATTTCTATTCTACATGTAAATTTAATCTCTGTAAATTTTCATTCTTACAACACATACTTCTGATTATTCTGAAAGTCCTAATCGATCACTGTAGTAGTGTTTAGTCATGCTACTTAGAAACAGAGGTTTAATGGGAGTTTACGACTAATAAATCCTTTATACTGATCAAAATGTACACAAAAACTTTTTTTTTAATTGAAGAATTTATCTAGTGCCTGATGATGGCGTATGCTTAGTGAACAATTAGACACGACGGTATTGAGTGGAACGTTATTATAAGAAGAAAACTTCATGGCTAATCAAATCAGGGATAGCGAATGACTTATACAGCGAGAGATTTAGTGATTATTATCAATCATATCATATAGTAAATTTCAAGATTATTTTCTTTCGGATTTTTCCCTTAGAAGTGATATATTTACATGGATCTTATTAGTGGAACTTTTGAACTAAATAGAATATAGTCCTTACTGTTCAGTCTCTTGTGCCTTCAACAACCACTGCAGAGTATAATTACTAAATTGGATAACTTGGACAGAACACTTTATCAAAAAAACTATCAAGTTAGAAAAAAATTTCTGTTTAGATAAATGGGAATATACAACTGATTGACTAGTTATAATGATGAGAGTTGTTTCACATTTGTAGCATAAAATTAACTTATCTTTCGATGTGATTAACTGAATATTATACAATTCTAGGATAGTAAGTCCTGAAATTTCTTTATCAAAAACACTTAATATAGTAAAAAGGAAGAAAAATACTATTAATATACATAACACACATTTTGTAAAGTTTCCATTAAATAATAATAAATATGTAATTTTGTCAACCAGAAAGAATTCAATATGTGGAGTTGAGTTCGACAACAAAATCTGTCAGTATAATATCCCCACCTTTCGAAAATCTTATAAATCTCCATTCATCTCTAGATTCTACTGTGTGAATATGTTACTATTAGAAGGAATATAAGAAATATATGGTGAAGAACGATAAACACCAAAGGAACAAGGTGACAAAAAGAGAAGATTGCAGTTAAAATGAAATATATAAATGTACCGATATATATATATATATATATATATATATATATATATATATATATATATATATATATATATATATATATATATATATATATATATATTACAAACGTATCAGTATTTTGTTTGTAATTAACACTCTACCAATCAAACTAGACTTTTAATGAGTGTATGAACTGTTTTATCCCAAAAATTAAATCAGTACAAGTGAAGAGTATGTGTGGTAACACTACATGAATCATAGTCAATGGAATTATTTCAGCATACAAGACGTTAATATGATGAATATATGTGAGAAGGGACGTGCCGCTGGTTACGTAATCTATGACTGATGGCCACATTGTAACCTTACATATTTTAACAGCATGGCTAGCCATAATACAAGAAATATAATTAATTAATTTTAACAACTACGTTCATCCAACTTAAACGACTAAATTAAAATAAGTATACTTATAGTATGTAATAGTATTATTATTGTAAAATAGCACATATCATATATTCACCACTCACCTACTGGATATACGAGTTGTTAGGGTACGAAAAAAATTGTTGATACCTCCATTAGTATTTGAATGATTGTGAATAGATTCATGTTCCAACCGATTAACTGAAGGACGTACAGAAAAGTTTCGAGTGAGTGGTTGAATAGAGGGTTCAATAGTATGGCTTCTCTGATTAATACCAACATGTCTTTCATTTTCTGGTGTTGGAGATTCTTCATCATAATCTGTCCGATCACCGTGATGACTTAAAGTGGAAGCGGATGAAGTTCCGGAGGATATTGATAGATCAGGACTGCTAGGCCTTGGGGTAGGAAAATTCGAACTACCGGCTGACGTACGAGAGTGAGATTCATTAGTTGGATGAGCAATACTTTGTGTTCCAGGGTGACGAACAAGTCGTGGACCACCCGATGTCCCTTCAAGACGTTCCCTGGCTCTTCCGGTCGGTACATGCTGAATTGTTGACCGTTCTGGTAGATTACGGCTGAATGGAAGGTTTGGAGTAGCCTCTGTCGCATCAGTTGTATAAGGAGAATTCGTAGGTGATTGATTTGAGCCAATTTCACTAACGCCATTAGACCATAAGGAGGTAACTGATGGACGAACTAATTGATTATTTACTCGACCAAGTTGATGATGCAAGAGAATTTCATTAGTAGAACTATTAACAGTTGTATGAGATGGCAATCTAGAAAAAAAATGGGTCGACGAATTAAAGCTACATAAGTATCTTAGTGAATACTATCCGAATCAAAATATAGTTAACTTGATTGATGATACTATTAGACACAAATAATTCTAAATAGTGTCTTATATGGTTTAAACAGTTATGTTCAAATTAATGTACTGTAACATTTTTTAATCTTTTAGTTGTGCTAATAGTTTGTTTATGTACTTATAAAACCATACAGTTCAAGTTATATTTTAATCATTTTTTCTGCTTTTTTTTATCTCATTTCAATTACTGACTAAAGATTTTAAAGACAATATGGGGAACAATAATTTACATCGGTTTCTAATACGAATTGTCAGTCTTGCAACTTATAAAAAAATACTGTCAAGTGTCAAAATCATTTGTGAAACAGATAGTAAGTTTTGAGCCAGTTACTTTCGGAAAGAACTCATAATTTCTCAGTGAAAAACATCTTTTTCTTTGATTGTTATAAATCTATGATTATCTTAGAAACTTAAAGATATATTCGGATGCTTGCATCAGCTAAAACGGCTTGACTATCGAAGAGGCATCATTATCGACATGTTGTTAGATTGCTAATCATTGGTCAACATCAATGAGGGTTGTAAATGAAATCGTTAAATATTTGCCAAGAGAATAAAAGACAGTTCTAATTTTAATTATTCATGTACATGTGATATTTAAAGATATGAGAAGAGTTCAGGTACTCTGATCTCAAAGGTATCTTTTATAAATGGTGATATGTTGAAGTAGTAAAAAAGCGTTGATCTATTGATCAAGTTGTGAAAATAATTTGAGTGGTGTGGATTGACTTTTTACTGATTCATCCAATCAACAAATATAATAAAACTAAGGAAATCAGTGGTTGCCAACTGAAGGCACAACTTAAATCCAATAATCGATATGTGTAGGATAAGTAAATGTAATTACTCTGAGACAGTTTACGATATCTTACACACTTCTTTTACTTCCCTCTATAAGTTACTTTTCTCTCGTTATAATGTTTCAAACCATAGTACAATAGTCGAATGCATTGATAATTTCATTCATTTTGGAAGTTTTATCGATCCTGACAAGTTCATAACTGACGAAATTTCGATAAAGGTTCAAACGTTTCGTTATGATTTCGCCAACATACGCTAATTGTAAAATAGGACGGATATCAGACTGTCTATAAAAGGGTGAATACAATATACAGTAATTTGCTCTGATTTGCTTTAAGGAGATGGAACATGGGCTTAGAAATTTAAAAAAATATGTATAAATAGCTATGAGAAATTGTTCGTATAGATAATTATTCACTGACAAAGTATGCGGAATCAATTATCAAGTCTAGCTTAATGTATTCTATAAAAAACTGGGGAATAAGTCATCTTGATACTAGATAATTGTACTCATTCCGAGAAGATAGAAAAACCATAAATTGAAATGTGAATCATCAAGTCGCAACTAACTGATAAATCAACGCTTCAAAACACAGCTGGTTAACCACTTTTATTACAAAATACATAGCTATTAAAATCCTAATGATTTTGCTGAATCAAAACTTTAGGTAAGTTACCAAATGATGATTAGAAGTTTAATGTGGAAATCTTACACAGCTTATTGTTTAAATTTAAATATATTAGCTATGCACTATTGCCAAAAAATATTCAAAAAAAGGAGGGAGAGTAAAATCAATAAGTACCTTAATGAATGATAAGCATAAGAAGTACGTGTTGTTGGATTAATAGAAACAGATGAATTAGGTACAATAGTATTTTGTGGGACAGGTGCTGTAGGACGCCTTATTGTAGCACCGAACGAGTTAATTGGAGCAATACTATTATTAACTGTACTTGTGTTTGTTATTCCTTCTAAAAATTGATTTGCTTGACTTGTATTACTGTTATTATTGAACTGTTTAATTGTTGTATTATTCATTCCTCCAGGTAAACGAGAACTATGTGGTGGGATAGTCGGTGGTGTAATTGACGACTCAGTTGCTGATGTATTATCGACTAATCGAAAAGGATTAGATTCACTAGAAGATATAAAAAAGAAAATAAATAAAAACTGGATAATTAATAATAACAATAAACACGAGAGATACATAGGAAGTAATAGAATCCAAAATTTATCATATTTATTAGACATAAAAATTATTTTGTTGAACACTTTGAATAGTTAATCAATATAAGGTAAAAAAAAGTACTGTATTGTATGGTATTTTATTTGTAAGCATATAACAAATGAGCTGTATTAAACACTATCTAAATTTCCTCTGATTCGGTTAAACCAAATAATAAGTCAGATGTGAAGCTTGTGATCGTTGTTATTACAAAATGTATTTAACACAAGAGGATTGCCTAAGTCGAGAATGAAATAGTGACACATCAGTAACATAATATGAAGATCAAACTGTATATCATCAATCGACTAAATGCCAAAATATGGACCCCTAATCTTGGTTATCTAAAGGTGTAGTGCTTGTTGCAAAATCCTGAATATCCTCATTTTTATTTCGCGTACAATTGCGGTTTCTAATTATTAAAAGAATCTCAAAACCGGAATGACCAAGTGATTGTCTACTGCTGTGTAAATTTCAATGATTACTCAGACGATCATGATAGAGGAACAGATTTCCAAACTGCATAAAATTATATAACTAAACAAAAAATATTATCAGAATGGGTTTTGTGGAGATTTTAGAAATTTCACAGATTGAAATCATGAGTCAGTTGAAGCTAGACCACCATTGAAAACCTGGAAGCACTGGACGGCCGCACTGCTGAGGAGTCCCATACTAGGACGAAACGGCCGTCCAGTGCTTCCAGGTTTTCAATGGTGGTCTAGCTTCAACTGACTCAAGATTTCAATCTGTGAAAAAAATATTACTCAAACTCTTGCTGAATTCAAACAGATATCATATAGGGGTTTCATTACATGTAATGTGACTGTTCAACTTACTGGATAATAAATTGTAATACAATATTTTGAATTCAGTATAAGCTTACCGAATTCATAGTTTTATTTTCTTTATTCTAATCTAAAATACCAGTTGATAAACACTTGTTTGTCATTATTTATTTTAATATTATAAGTTAATCGATTGTTAATGAATAAATAAGGTAAATAATTGTAGTCTTGTTATTAAACGAAAATTTTTGAAGGAAACGTTTTAAGCAAGAATAACTATTTTACTAAAATGGTGCAATAATATTTAGAACTATAACACTGAGTTAGCTTGTTACTAAACAAGAAGTAACACGGTTATATCATAATAAATATAACGAAAAACAAGCAATTAGTGACAAGTAATAATTACATAAGCAAATTAAAACGAGTGGAATATAAAAGTGATAATGACATAATAGATTGAAAATATTACAGTTTAACAGAAAGTTTTGTCTAAATTGACTAGTCGATATACTTGTGATCTACACATTCTTTGAATCACGTAGTTTGCTCCTGTAGATGACTTTTAAAGATAATACTGGTGAAAACGTGTAGTCAGAAGTAATGATATTCTGAGTAAATGAGTTGTTATATGATTTAAATTTACCCCTGAATAACTATACAGAATAATACGATCAGTAATAGTACGATTTATGGGACAAATAAGGTATGCTACAGAAGAACCAGTTAACTGCCAAGTCTAAACAGGTGACTAAAAAAACAGCTTAAGACTAGAAGATTCACGAATCGAATCCAACCTATAGAAGGATGTTTCAAGTTTAGCAAGAAAAAAATCCTATTTAAAAACATCTGCCAAAAGTCTGAAGTAGGAAGTTTAATTTAGAGGTTCACGAACAAGATCTTATTTCATACTGCAGATCACCGTTCACTTTTCTGCTTGATTTCAAAGTTCAATTGAGTGAGCTTGAGAATATTCCAATAATGTACAAGTATAATCTGAAATTTCTTCAGTTTATCATAAATTATGTAAATATCCTGGAGAACAGTTAATTTAACTTGGAAGTCAACACAGCATATTTTCTTCTGATATAGACAATCGACAAATCAATCTTTGACAAGTCATTTAATCTTGCTATCATGAGAATATTAAGAATATGAAACTGAGTTTACTCCTTATTCTGATACGATTTTGATTTATTCCGATCAGTTACTGGTTTTCCTAGCAATCTCGTCAAATTTGCACTTTTTTGTCACAGAAGAATAATTTTTCGAAATAAAAGTATACCAAGTCAGGTCAGCTCCGCCTGGAGTCCCTCTGGGGGCTACTGCCGGTCCCAAGCCCGGACAAATGAGGAGGGTTGGGCATAGGGTTAGCGACCCCATCCCGTAGAAAACTAACTCGCTAAAAAAACGCTAACCAGAAAAAATTACTCAAACCTTTTAAACTCTGCCCCGGGAGTCAGAAGGTCTTCATTTAGAAGAACTATGACGCCTCATGATGAAAGCCGAATTCCTTCAGAAGTTACGAGGCCGATGCCCCTTCTGACAACCAGAGCAACCATTTATTTAGGTACATGGAATGTTCGTACAGTGTGGAACACCGGGAGAGCCTTCCAAATAGCTGCAGAAATGAGGAGTTACAACCTAGAGGTGCTTGGGATTAGTGAAACACACTGGACACAAGTTGGACAACAACGACTAACTTCAGGAGAGCTTCTGTTATACTCCGGCCATGAAGAAGAAAATGCTCCACATACACAAGGAGTTGCATTGATGCTGTCCAAACGAGCACAAAACGCACTTATAGGATGGGAATCTCATGGACCAAGGATCATCAAAGCCTCCTTCAAAACAAAGAAAGAAGGCATTTCAATGAACATCATCCAATGCTATGCGCCTACCAACGACTACAATGAAGACGCTAAAGATCAATTCTACGATAAGCTGCAGTCAATCGTCGAGAAGTGCCCAACAAAGGACCTGACTATTCTGACGGGAGATTTCAATGACAAGGTTGGAACGGACAACACTGGATATGAAGACATCATGGGACGACACGGACTGGGAGAAAGAAACGAAAATGGTGAGAGATTTGCAAACCTATGTGTCTTCAATAAACTGGTCATAGGCGGCACCATATTCCCACATAAACGCATACACAAAACCACATGGACTTCACCGGATCACATCACGCAAAACCAAATCGACCATATCTGCATCAACAAAACGTTCAGGAGGACGATGGAGGACGTGAGAACCAAGAGAGGAGCTGATATAGCATCAGATCATCACTTGCTGGTCGCCAAGATGAAATTGAAACTCAAAAAGCACTGGACAACGGGGCGGACAATATCACAAAAGTTCAATACGGCCTTTCTTCAGGATACTAACAAACTCAACAAATTCAAGATAGTCCAAGCCTTTCATGATTTACTCAATGGAGAAGGAACTACTATGGAGAGCAACTGGAAGGGGATCAAAGAGGCAATCACTTCAACATGTCATGGGCCACAAGAAGCATCATCACAAGGAATGGATCACTGTTGATATATTGGATAAGATTCAAGAAAGGAGGAACAAGAAAGCAGCAATCAATACCAGCCGAACAAGAACAGAAAAAACCAAGGCACAAGCTGAATACACAGAAGTAAACAAGCAAGTGAAGAGGAGCATCAGAACTGACAAACGTAAATATGTGGAAGATTTAGCAACGACGGCGGAAAAGGCTGCAAGAGAAGGAAACATGAGACAATTGTATGACACGACAAAAAAACTCTCTGGAAATCGCCGCAAACCAGAACGACCAGTGGAAAGCAAGGAAGGCGAGGTAATCACCAACATTGAAGAGCAACAAAACAGGTGGGTAGAACACTTCAAAGAACTCTTAAATCGACCAGCCCCACTGAACCCACCCAACATCGAAGCAGCACCCACGGACCTCCCAATCAACGTTGGCCCACCAACAATTGAAGAAATCAGCATGGCCATCAGGCAAATCAAGAGTGGCAAAGCAGCAGGACCAGACAACATTCCAGCAGAGGCACTAAAAGCAGACGTAGCGGTAACTGCAAGGATACTCCACATTTTCTTCAATAAGATTTGGGATAAGGAACAAGTACCAAAAGACTGGAAAGATGGACTTCTGATCAAAATACCGAAGAAAGACGATCTCAGCAACTGTGATAACTACAGGGGCATCACTCTTCTCTCAATACCGGGAAAAGTCTTCAACAGGGTATTGTTAAACAGGATGAAGGACTGGGTAGACGCCCAACTTCGAGACCAACAGGCAGGATTCCGTAAGCATCGATCGTGTACAGACCAAATCGCAACTCTACGGATCATTGTGGAACAATCTATTGAATGGAATTCATCACTCTACATCAACTTCATTGACTACGAAAAAGCATCTGACAGCGTGGACAGAACAACACTATGGAACCTTTTTCGACACTACGGCGTGCCTCAGAAGATAGTCAATATCATACATAATTCATATGATGGATTACACTACAAAATCGTGCATGGAGGACAGTTGACAAAGTCGTTCGAAGTGAAGACCGGTGTTAGGAAAGGCTGCTTACTCTCACCATTTCTCTTTCTCCTGGATCATGAAGACGTCAACATCTGGAGGGAAACACGGGATACAATGGACATCTAGAATGTAAATGGACGATCTAGACTTCGCAGATGATCTGGTCCTTCTATCCCAAACGCAATAACAAATGCAGGAGAAGACGACCAGTGTAGCAGCAGCCTCAGCAGCAGTAGGTCTCAATATACACAAAGGGAAAAGCAAGGTTCTCCGATACAACACAGCATGCACCAACCCAATCACAATTGACAGAGAACATTTGGAAGATGTAAAAACCTTTACATATTTGGGCAGCATCATTGATGAACAGGGTGGATCTGATGCAGATGTGAAGGCGCGGATCGGCAATGCAAGAGCAGCATATTTACAACTGAGGAACATCTGGAACTCAAAGTAACTGTCAACCAACAACAAGGTCAGGATTTTCAATACAAATGTCAAGACAATTCTACTGTACGGGGCAGAAACCTGGAGAACTACGAAAGCCATCATCCAGAAAATACAGGTGTTTATTAACAGTTGTCTACGCA